ACAAAAACACACATCCACGACGATTCGTGATATCAACCTCCTTCTTATCCCCCTGTAAGTCCCGATCCTCCCGCGGACACTCAACCCTCCCTTGTTCCTCTCGCGGGCAATCTACTGCCCTCAACTTCTTGCTCCCCTTCTTCAGCGCCTCCTGAGCCCTTTCGTCCCGACGAAAATCCCCCGGATGCACAAACCGCACCTACTTCTCCTCCGCCTTCTCGCTCTCCATCTCCTTCGCCTTCTACATCAGCGCAACCAGATCCCGCAGACAAACGATCCTCCGATTCCTCTCGACCGACCTCTCCACCAGATGACCCCTGGTTGCAATATTGTCTCAAACTTACTTCCATCTATCGGGTCGCAGATCTAAAAAAATACCCTATGTCATTGACCTCTTTAAAATAAAACTTTCCGACCTCTTCCACTTAATCTCCACCACTCCCCCTAGGAAATTACTCCTCGTTAAATTTCCTTATATTGATAACATTCTATTAGTCCCTGTTCACCATTTTTATTTCTTTCTCTCCTCTAGCTCCGCCAAAATCCACGAGATCATTGAAATTGATCTAAAATGATTTCAATTGCTAGACCACGAATCGGCGTCACACACACGCACCTGACACACTTACATTTGTAGAAACCCTCCGGAAGCCCTTCACATGCGTTCGCGACAAGCATACATACATGTATATATACGTCTTTCCTCTCTCCCCCCTCCAAGCGATGACCCTTCGACCTATTGTAAAATTCGCGACATCATATCTAATCACACTACGACACTCCACTGACAAAAATTTGTAACATGCTCTTCAAATGAATAAATTAATATTTTGATTATAATCAATCCATTTAATTAAATCGACTTCTCACCCTCTACATCTTCAATCGATCGCACGGTCTCGTTCTTAGTCAATAGAGTTGAATCTCTAGGCTCAAAAAGAGACCGACAAGCGGGGCCTCGTAGGATAGAGTAAGATTGGCATACGCCGTTGACCTGTCCGTGAGAGCACACAAACTCGCTCGACTCTGCCGCAGGGGGATCGCCTACCTGCTGTACGGAGACAGAGAAACGACAGTTCTCTGTTTCTCTGCCATGACCTGACCGTAACTGTGGGCCAGGACGTAACAATAGTCTAAAACTTTTTTATTACTGTTAGATGTTATATTAATAAGTTATACAAATATGTAATGTACATATTTTATTAGTATAAATAATATCATGTCTTTTTACAAGATTACAAGGCTGCGTTTCGATATTCACTGCCAATACTAAAAATCTATACTTTACGTCACATGTGCTATAGATTTCCAGTACAAGCAGTGAATATCGGAACGTTGCCTAACATCGAAAAGCGTTGCCATACATAACAAGCGCGTTACGTGCGTTGCCTCGTGGCCGGCTTAAGCCTGTTCTACAATACAGTCGTAAGCCGTAAGTCGTAAGAAATTGACTAATTACAATCGATTATTCTTCTGTGATTGGTCGATCAATTTCTTACGACTTACAGTTTACGACTGTATTGTAGAACAGACCTTAGGCCTGTAACTTACGTAAGCGTAACTTGGATTAGCCAATCATATCGTCTCACCTATCATACGCAAGTACGCTGAGACGACATGATTGGCTAACGCACGTTACGCTTACGCAAGTTACGCCGCATGTAAAGGTTAGTCTACAATGGGAGTAGGCAGTATAGAGTAAAAAGTAAGGTTCTTGGAGTTCTTTTATTTTTTTTCTATACAAGTAATTATTTCGCGTTTTTTAACGCACGTCTTTCATTGGCTGTACAGTAGGCAGTGCAAAATGGAAATTGTCTATTTCGTTATTCCCGTCGTTTTTTCACCAAAAAATAGTTTATTCTCTGCTCCTACAGCCTTACAATCTTTATTGTAGACTAACCATTAGAGAAACAGAAAAAACAAAGGAAAGAAAACGGAATGGCTATGATTGGTCGTGCATTTCGTTCCGCTATGGATTTCCGCTCAATGGGACGCCGCGTTTAGATTTGTACAGTCGTTACTGAATTGTTTCGTGGACGCGGAGAGCTAGGGGTAAGAGGGACGGTATTCCCTAGTAAATACTGCCAACGTACTAACTGTAGCTGATTTCGATGAATTGACCAATTACGTTAGTTGATTGATTAATGTAACAAACGTGAATGGTCAATTCCACGAGATTTGCGACCTGCGTTTGCGTCTCATGATTGGCTACCGCATTGCGCGTAAAAGGTCATTCTGCATAATACGCAAGTACGAGTCGCAGGTCGCAGATCTCGTGGAAATGACCATTCACGTTTGTCACAGTAACCAATCGACTAACGTAATTGGTCAATTCATCGAGATCTGCTACAGTTAGTACGGCATCCGTTGGCAGTACTTACTGCTAGGAAATACCGTTCCTCTTATCTTTAGCTTCTCACGTTCGCGAAACGATTCAATGACCGCGACTGTACAAAGGAATGCACCATATCATGTGGCTCCCAGGGAAGTATTTCTTGGAAATGTCGCTTCTGGCTGTTCCTACTACCACGCACTGTTTTCCTTTGGTCCAGTTAACAGTTTTGACTTCTTTCCACTGCTTTAGCATGCTGTAAGGAAAAAAAAAAACTGTGAACACTGCTTCGGTCTCCGCCAGCGGCCCGAGATTGAAGGAGAACGGCACGCAGTAGTAGAAGCAGGCGGAGGAAAAATTTCTGAGAAATACTTTCCCTGGAATCGTACGATGTGATGCACTCTTATGTACGTAAACTTGAACTTTATTCAACGCACAAACAAAATTAACTTAATGTAGCATAAACGTGGTACGTTAATTTTGTCTGTGCGTTAAATTAAATTTAAAGGTACGTACAAATAAGTTAATATTGTAACGTAAGGTCAATAACGTAACGTAAAGGCTGTTGCACACAAAATGACATAAGGTACAATTTCATGTGCCGCTGAAACTAAATGTTCGAGCGACAAGAAGAGTCACGCGACTTTGATTTGTTGCTCGTATTCTAGCGGCTATAATTTTGTAATTGAAACCAATTCAATTACAAAGTATTGTTGCCCAAACACTGTAATGCACTGAGCTACGTTCGGAAACACTACTAGTGCGTTTTATCTTTATCGCTCATTGTAATAAAACAAAGATAAATTGACGCTCAAGTGTACACACAAATGGTGTTTCCAAACACAGTCTTGACAGTGTATACCAAAGACATAACTTTGCAGACCTTCCGAAAAACGTTTAAAAAAAGATACAAAAATAAACTAATTTAATTTAAAAAAAAAATAAAGAAGTAAAAATATATATAAAAAAGTAAAAATATATAGAAATAAGCGTCAACAAAACGCAAACAACGCTAAATCTATCTCAATTTTGTCGCTTTTAATCTTTTTCATGGACAAAAGTTGACGTTCAATAGTTCAGCAAGAAAACTCATCACGTGACTTTTTTTGTCGGTCGAACGGTCAGTTTTAGCAGAACGTGAAAATGCACTTATAAAGAAAATGCACCTATAGTGTGCATATGCATAGCATAGGATTATTTGAACTAATGAGCATTTAGCATAATTTCCCACACAGCATACTCTCTTTATCGTAGAGATATCCTATAGACATTATTATGGGATATTGCAATATCCATAAGACATTCCAAAATGATCTCTGATATCTGAGATGTCCATAAATTGTACTAATGGAGCGTTTTTTATCCCCTAATGGACATTACCCCCATTTCTTTCTCAAGTTTATTCTAATTGTATTTGGAAGTATCTCTGTAAGGATGATGAAGAATTGGATAACGAACAATTATAAATTAATCAAGACGACAACTAGATTGTATTATCTCAAGCATGTTGTGACGGGGCAACCCGTCACTGTACATATTATTATTATTATTATTAGTATCATTATTATTCTCAATATATATTTTATATCAAAGCGTTTAGTATCACTCTTATTTCGCCCAAAACTAGCTATAAGTCCTGCGCCGTTATACACAAAGTGCTACATCGATTGCACTCATCGCGAGTCATGAAAACGCGCTCGTACGCCTAGGGAAACCAAGCGCTCCGCAACCGCGAACAGCACCGCGCCGGCGCAGAACCTCACCCGCGGGCCTGCGCG